TGTGATGTACAGAGACTACGAAGAAGTTAAACAGGTTGCTTACCTGTAACTGGTGATCTTCAAGTAGTCATCTGTGCAGTCACACCACCCGCCCGTCATTCCCCACTGCTGTCACTTCAGTACTTTTCTCTGGTTATTGACATGACAGCAGTCAGAAGGAACTGGCGGGATGTCCGCGCCCCTCCTCCTTGGGCATGCACAGTGGGGTTCCCGCGCATGCCTGGGAGGGAGGTGCAAAAATCCCTTCGTGAGCTTTGCATACCACTGATTCAGATCAGCGTAGGTGCATAATCCCATTGGTGTTACTGCACAGATGATCACTCGAAGATCACCAGTTACAGGTAAGCAGAGGTCATTTTCTGCAGGAGCGCACAGGAGCGGAGCTCCGGCAGTAAAGAGCCCAGGGAGCGGCCACATGCAACAAGCCCCACCCCCTGCTCCCAGCAGCCCTCAGTCAGAGCAAGAAGCAACCAGGTAAGTTGCAGAGGGCCCCCCGGTCCCCCTGTCCAAAACAGTCCAGTGGCACCTTTAAGGGTAAGTTTTATTCAGGTAGAAGCTCTCCCTTCTCTGCGAGGACAGATCTGCATGTCCTCCCCCCCCAATAGCTAGCCATCCAAAACAGTCCAGTGGAGCCTGAATGGTGGGTGTTGCCTTCTGACACGCTTCCAGTGATGTCAGGGTGTGTGGCATATGCAAATGAGTTATGCTAATGAGTTATGCTAATGAGCTCCTGCACCTCTTTTTCTACGAAATGACCCCTGCAGGTAAGCAACCTGTTTTGTTTTTTGTTCTTGTTTTTGGATTTTACCTTTAAAGTTTCACATCCTGGGACCCCAAGTGAGGGTCTGCCAGTTGCGTTCCTCAGATAAACACCTCTTTGCTGTGCCAGCTCTCAGGTCGACTCCCCTTCAGCTCCGGCAATGGCATTTTGGGATGCCCTGCCTGAAGAGGGGCAGAGGAGGGCTCCTCCCCATCCTCCTTTTTTTGTCAGGCGTGTCAGGGCGCCTTATTCTGGAGAACGTTCTGCAGTGGCTAAAAAGCAGCAGACTCTGTGCCAGGTGTCATAGAAGATGAGTGGCTGTTGTAGGCAGCCTGTTACGCATAGTCAGTTTCCAAGGTTTGTTTTTTTCCTGTTTTGCAGCCCGGCATTGTCTTGGTAAGCAGCCTTGAGTCCTCAGCGGAAGGCAGGGTGCGCGTGTTTAAATAAAAGGTTTTTGATGGCATTTTTGTAACTTCAGGCTGTGGGTTTTAGCTCCAGTTAATACGTCCAGTGTCAGACAGTTTTGGGTCTATGCAGAAAGAATTGTGTCAGACTCTGACTCTTTGTCTGAGGTTACCTTGAATGATACTCAGCACTGCAGAGGAGGAAGAAAGCTAGCGCATTTTACTGTAAACATGCCTGTTGTTGGAGGATGTTATAAATTGCCTTCAAAAGACAGATGGACTGAGAGTATGGAAGGCTCTGAAATTAACCAGAGGAGACATCGGTTTGCCTCTAATGAGTCCAAGAGCAAATTTTCAGGGAAGTGTTCCCGTGGGGTGACTTGCTCTGATTTACTGTAAGTGAGGGAGTTGGTTCCGACAGACAAAAGCTGGAACTGATAGAGTGAAGCAGCAATTGTATTTCAATTAAAACAGAAAAGTCACTGCGAGCCTTTTCAGGAGAAGTTCAGCACCTGCTTTAATCTTGAAAGCAATTGCCTCAGAGGGGGTTCCTCTGTAGCATAGTTGTGTGTGCGAGGGATCCGTGCAGAAAAAACATATTTTCAATATATATAATCAATTTTTGAGTTCTTTCTGATTTTAGTCACATCATATAATAACACTCTGATTCTCACTGCTTACTTTATTCTAGTTTATCACTCCATTCTCCTATCTTAGCATCAAACCACCTTTTTATAGCTTCATCTGGAGATGCTTATGTTTGTTCTTTCTAGTTAAAATAATCAGTCATTTAAATCTTTAAATGGAGCTCTAGTCATGGGAACTTATAGAAATATCTGTCAGGCAATAGGTTATCACTGTATGATATGATTCACAGTGTTACTTGGATAAATTATTGGGGACTGTGATCTATACTGTTGTGTATAGTTTGCTGTAAGCTGGGTCCTGCCCATTTGGTGTAATAGTTAAGTGTGCAGACTCTAATCTGGGAGAACCGGGTTTGATTCCGCACTCTTCCACGTGCAGCCAGTTGGGTGACCTTGGGTCAGTCACAGTTCTCTCAGAGCTCTCTCAGCCCCACCCACCTCACAGGGTGCCTGTTGTGGGGAGGAGAAGGGAAAGGAGATGGTAAGCCGCTCTGAGACTCCAAGTGAAGGGTGGAGGGTATAAATCCAATCTTTTCTTCTTCTAATTTTGCATCATTTAATGTGCCATGTTAACACACTTTGCTTCAATTTGGTTTTTTTAGATTTCTGGTTGGTTCTTCTACCCAGGTTTGGTTTTGTTGTTTATTGAATGTCCCATCTTGCTGATTGTATTGACTCTCCCGGTGTAATCCGCCCTGAGTCCCAGTGATAAAGGTGGGCTGTAAATAATGTAAATAAATGAATAAAGATTTTTTACTTCAGCGAAGACTACCCCGATTGCCCGTCCTCTAGGAAACCTTGCTGGGAGGGAGAGAAGGCAGGGCGTAGGGTAAGTTTTACAGCAGTGAAATGGTTAATGGGACCCTTTTTACAAAAGGAGGCGGAGAGAAGGGCATGATGGAATGAAGAGGGTGTAAGGTTCCCAGTCAAATCACTTTTCTTTGATGAAAGTTTTATTAGAAGATATGAGATGTTCAGGGTTCAAACTGTCCGATCTGAGGTAATAAGGCGGGGAAGCCACTTGTAACTGAAACCCCACATTCCATTCATACAGGTCAGCACTACTGCCCAGACCCTGAGAGAATATACGGTCCGCCCCTAGCCAAACATAGACTTGTCTTCAAGGACGCTCCCGTGAGAAGAGCCATCCTTGAGGTGTCAGAGAAGAGTTACCAAAGCAAAACTCCCTAATTCTACCAGCCGTCAACCATTCACTCCCCCCCTCCCCTGAGAGGAATGCATTGGCAGGCAAGGGCCAGCGATGATGATGATAATAAGTACACTGGGTTAACTAGCAGCTGGAAGCAGAAGCAAGAGAAAGAGCAGACGGCAGCAGGTTCCAATACAACAGGTACGGTAGCTCATTGGGATACCGGTACAGTAACTCAGAGGCCCGACAGAGGGGGGAATGATCCCCCAGTCCCTTGTGCAAGCTAAACAGATCCCCTGTTTAATTCTCCGTGCCACTGCAACAGTCAGTGCCTTGTCTTTCTGAAGTTTTGAGTCCGTAGGATGCCTGTGTTGCATTCTTTATTTTGTTTTCATCCTTCCCTTCCGTCCCAGTTGCTCAAGGCAATGTGCAGTGTAGACAGTTTGCAGATCAGTGAAGGCCAAGCTAGATATGTTTTGAGCGTGATTTGTCTGTGGAATTCATGTAACTTCAGTATCGTCAGCCTTCCTTGTGGAAGGCAGACTGACGGATCCTGTGTCTCCAGAACACTCTGGGGAAAATATTTATTCATCAGGTCTGATGGTCACGTTGTTGAAGACTAAGTTTGTCTTTGGAATAATTGTCTGATGGTGGACTTCACTCCGTTGACTCTTCACCAACAAAGTTTCCATTGGTACACTGAGGAGCCAAAGCTGACACCGTGCAGATGGACGGTCCAATCTTAACTAGGAGAAAACATGGCCTAAATCTCAGAACTCATGAGGCAGTCCATGACTGAAGGCCTGCAATGGGCACAGAGCTTTTCTTGTCTATTAGACTACCTGTTTCGTTTCCACAACTGGATTACATAAAAACGAACCTGTTATTTCCAGTCCCTTGGAATTCTGAAGATCTCCATTCAGCAGTCATCTGTCCTTCAAAGAACTGTAACAGTGTCCTCCAGGTGGACTTGTCCTTGAACAGGAGGTTGTTATGGCTGGACCAGACTGGCATTATGGCACTCTTAAGCTGCCAGGTTCATTGATTTAAGACAGGAATCCAGGTGAACAGTGTGGAACTGTTAGAATTCCCTCATAGCAGCCTAGGCCTTTCGTGCTTTCCATATGCACCTCTTCCTTTTCAGAAGCTCAGAGAGCAAGATGCAGTTGGCATCCTGAATACCTCTCATCGTCCTCAGCTCTGTGACCGCAGCCACCACCTCTGTCCTGGAGTGTCCTGGAGACAGCATCACTGTGGCCAGTCCATGGCAGAGTCATCTGAATAAGTGCATCGCGATTCATTGGTCGATCTCTCTAACTTTCTGCTACACTGACGCAGTCTGACCATAGCTACACCGTGTAATCAGGGCTTTTTTTGTAGAAAAAGCCCAGCAGGAACTCATTAGCATAATAGGCCATACCCAACAGCAGGAACTCATTAGCATATTAGGCCACACCCCTGACAGCACCACTCATTAGCCTATTAGGCCGCACCCACATGTTACCAGAAGTGTGGTCATCCAGCCACACCCACCTTTTGCTTCTTATTCTCTTTACCTTGTTTGTTGTCAAAACCCAGGGCTTTTTGCATGTTAGGCCACACACCCCTAATTGTAGCCAATCCAAATGAGTTTCTGCTGTTGGGTGTGGCCTATTATGCTAATGAGTTGCTGCTGGGCGTGGCCAACTTGGGAGCCAGCCGGAACTCCGTTCCTGTGCGTTCCTGCCCAAAAAATAGCCCTGCGTGTAATCATAGCTTGCAAGGGAGTACAATGTGTGATTTTTAAAAATCTCATATTTCTGAGGCGTACGTGGTTACTTTTTTCCCCCTCCCCACCACATTTTTCATTTTTAGCCACTCAGCGTTAAATTAGTTCTTTGGTGATTTCAGAATCTTACATTCAGTGACCTTTCAAGGTCCACCTGTAAAATGTGCTTATGTGATTAATTGTGTCCAGGGCTGCACAGTTTCATTAAAGTCATCTACCGCAGTTTCTTAGATTAGAGCATAGTTCACGCTAGTGCTGTTAGGGAACAATATTACTGTTTGCTCACTTGTTTAATAAGTTGATATTTTTAAGAGACTGCCTACCGTTGAATCGTGTTTTAGTTGAAAGGCTGTGGTTCAGATGCTGCAGGAAGCACGCAAGGGGCTAACCATCTTCTGTTCCCAGGAACTGGCAGTTAGATCTAGACTGCCTCTGAACAGCGGGTGTTCCATTCAGCTGTCCTTTCTGGGTGTATCTAGTTTGCACAGAATCAATTTGGGACGGTGGTGGCAAGAATCGCCTTAATGTGAGAGGCCGCCGGCCCCATTTCAGACAAACAAGCAAGCAAGCAAGCAAGCAAACAGGTCTGTGCTTCAGTGCTGAAGATGGGAAATAGACATCCCCAAAGTAAGAGGAAAAAGTTTTACGTTGCTGAAGGGAAGGGAAAAGCCATTGCGGGTATTTTTCACTTGTTAAAGAGGAGGCTAGATGAGCATTTTGCCCAGAATTGATGCAGCGTTGGAATGCTTACTCCTTAATAAAAAACAATAAAATCATAAATTGATGCAATGGACACATTATCTGAGGGAATAATCCGATTTCCCCTTAAGTGAAAAAGTACATCATGGCCATTGCTGGGGAATGCACCATCCTCACAACAGAAACTCCTCCCCCAGGAAAGACACGTGGGCAGGGTGACAGGTGGGCAAAGGGCCCTGTGCTTTCTGTGCTCTGACTGTTGACTGCCACAAAAGGTCCTTAGGCGACAACCTGCTTCCATTTTCCCTGGATCAGGCAGGAACAGTGTCTCCAGTCCTAAAAGCTTCGGTCAGATGTCTTAACGTTTGCTTACTGAAGGACTGAAGCCCGTGGAGGCATGTCAGTCGAAGCACTTCAGCATACCGACAGAACCGCCGGCTTTACTTTTCCTGCCCCAGGGCACCATTTTGGCAGCTGTGTTCTCTGAGCAGCAGTTTGTGCCTTTCGCTTAGTCTGCCTCTGGTGCCCCTCCTCCTCCAAGAGGAAATCTGCAGCCTAGGGAGGAAGCAACGCCTAGAGTTGGCCCCAAGCAGCTTCCATAGCTTGCACAACCCACACCTTCTCCAAGCATTCCCTGAAGTCTAACAGTAACTCTGGAGGTCCTCGAATCCAATCTAAGGCACAATCGTATCATCAGGTCAGCATCGTTGTTAACCTAGTGATGCATTAACAAGAGGGAGTGTAGTTTGTAGGTATTCTCAGACTGTAGGAGGCCTCACTAGGAATGCACAAAGACCTCTGGAACTGCCACGGATCCTGTGGGGGCCTCTATGCACATGTGGCCGCCTGCCTCCCAAGGCACTGTCAGTCCCTTTTGGGCATGCTCAGCAAGCCTCTCTCCTGTCCAAGTGCAGCAGTGTTACCACTGGATCCTGCAGTGCTGCGGGCAGGGACCGGAACACAGTGCAGTTTGCAAAGTCCTGGTCTGATCACCCCAAAAATCTGGACCTCCAGAATATAGACTGCATTCTGGTTTGGAGATAATTGGGCAGCATCTTAGCATCTGTAACACTTTGGGCCTCATATACCTCTAAGACTTTCTTCACCTTTTCTTTGGCCCAGCATGCTAAAATCAACCAAACCAAATCCATGCCCGTGCCTATCTGCAAAAAAAAATCCATGATTTGGTGATCATACTCAAAAAGCTCTGAAGATGATGTGCATCAAACACCTTTCTTCACCTCTTCTTTGGCCCAGCATGCTATAATCAACCAAACCCAATCCACCCCTGTGCCAGTCTGCAACAAAATGTGTCATTTAGCTCAGAAGATATGGTGCATCAAACACCTTTTTATATGGAATTTTAATTGGTGATGCCCCATATGAATATTCTAAGAGCTTCTGGCAGTAAACAATATTTGATGCTCTCCCCCCCCCAAAAAAATCGCAACTCTTGGGAGAGCTGCCAAAACATTACGCTATGTTTGAAGAGGCAGGAATGACAGCTTGAACAAATTAGAGAGGAAGGGAGGTCTTTCTATGAAAACACCCTTGGGTTTTGTTAATCTCCAGTTATTTATTCAAATTCTTTCCTGGTCCCAGCTATAGGACTTGGTGCAAGCTGAAGTGTGTGTGTTTATAATGAAGTGTAAAAATAAACTCTCAAAAACTAACTGGCTCCTAATAATTTGAAATCCCAGTTACTCCTGCCGCTTGGGACTTGTTTCAGATTCTCTAACAAGTTTTTAGCCTTGCCATGGGGCTTCCCCCCCCTAATAGATTCAGCAGTGTCATCCTAATTTAAAGCATTACAGCTAAAAATATTCAGTTTCTGAACTATCTGTGAGACAGCTAGCAATACCAGACAAGACAAGATCTGACACTTGTGGGGGGGGGATGCAGAGGGGAAAGGTCTATTTGACTTGTTTGACATGTGGAAAACTGGTAATGAAGAAGCTAGCCGAACAATTCCCCTCTTTGTCAGGTCAACACAAACCTGTCTGGAACTAGTTTATCTGATTATGCCACTGGTATCCTGCACTCTCAGTTTCGGCTCCAGAGGCAACTAGCAACCCCCACCACCACCACCCCACTGAACCCAGGCCCCACCACTCACAAGAAATAAAGAAAATTGTTTGAAAGTGCCCTACTTGTATTCAAACCACATGGTGTCTTCAGTCTTGATTGAAGGATCAGTCCACAGGCAGCCCTGGGAGGAACGGGGGCTCAAGGAGCAGGGGCTGGTTCTCGCAGAAGCCAGCCAGCCAGCCATCCCCACACAGTCTCCAAGCCAATCTTGCTCTCTCACCAGCAGCAGCAGGAACCAGGAACAGCAATGGAGTGGGCCAGCCATAGAGTCTCCTTTTATGCTCTCTGGGCATACACAGAAGGATTTCAAAAAGGAACAACCTTCTGTGATTGGTCAGAGAGCAGATGCCAAAATCCTATTGGGAAAGGAGCAACCTAGTAGCTGGGCTGCCAGCAGCAACAACAGCCTTGCAAAAGTTTGAAATGCATTGCAGTGATTGGCTGTCTGGAAGGTCCCTCTTTCCCCCTCCTTCCTGGCAACATGGAAACAGGAGCAAGAGGCGGGAAAGAGGGGGAAACACTGTTTCCTGGCATCCTTTAAACTAAAACCCCCTAGAGGCTCTTTTTCAGAATTTTTAAAAAAAACAAACCCAAATTTTTTCCAGGTTTTTTTTCCTGATATCCGTTCAGGGAAGCCTTTTCAGTATCTGAAAAGCCAAAAAAAATTCCAAAAAGACTTTTTCGGGGTCGTGGTGGTGGTGTTTTGGTTCGGGAAACCCAAATTGCACATACCTACAGCAAGCAAAACACAATGTTCAAAGCCTTCTCCTGGTATTCGGACAATTACCGCCTCTTGATGTGGAGGTCCCCTTTAGTCACTGTGGCTAACAGCCTACTGATGAACCTCTCTTCTAGGAACCAATCTAATCATTAAAGCCGTCTGTACTCCTGGTCATGGCTAAACGTAGACCCAAACCCAGTGGGAACACAGAGCAGCTCACCACGTCATTCTCTTTTCCTCCACTGTATACTCCCGGATCTCCCGGATTCTAGCCCAGTGCTCTGAACCAATGCACCCCACCAGCTGACTATCCGTGCCGCTCCCCTGACTCTTTGCAGGAGTAAAGGCCTGGATGGGCTCTGTCCGCAGTGGTGGTCCCCTGCAGAACTGGTAACTGACCAGTTGGCTGTGTTGACCGGTGTCTGCCTGTCTGCTCTGGAGTTGCCAGCCTCTCCCATTGTAACCTGGCTTCTGAACTTTTGCAGACTGCTTAACAGGCATTGGTTTGACCAACATGGATGTACCTTGTTCCTGTCATACTAGTTTTTGATGCAGAATATTTTTTCTGATGGGGGGGGTGTGGGAATCCAAGAGCTATTACTTAGCAGTCTGAAGTGGAACAACCCAGATACAGGTTTATTGTCTCAGTATTCCTCTTGTGGTTTCTGTAAGAGCCAGGCCATATCTAGCAAGGTAGGCTAGCTAAGAATAAGAGCCGTGAAGCAGAGGTTCCCAATTAAAATCACTTGGTTGGCTAGTTTGGTGTAGTGGTTAAGAGCGCAGACTTTAATCTGGGAGAAACGGGTGTGATTTCCCACTCCTCCATATGCAGCTGCTGGTGTGACCCTGGGTCAGTCATGAGTTCTTTCAGAGCTGCTCTCTCAAGGGCAGTCCTCGAGAGAGCTCTCTCAGCCCCACCTACCACCCAGGGTGTCTGTTGTGGGGAGGGGAAGGGAAAGGAGTTTGTAAGCCGCTCTGAGACTCCTTCGGGTAGGGAAGGGTGGGATAGAAATCCAATCTCTTCTCTTTTCTTGCTCTATTTCAGGATCCTCTGGTCCCACTTTTCCACTTGCTAAAAGGAAGATGATAAAGGGCTGAGCAGATTTATTGCAATAATATATTTGAAGCACTAAAGCCTTATATAAATGTTCAATATAATAATACTTGTTCTATTTATTTCTATAAAGCAGGGGTCTGCAGCCTTTAAAATTAAAGAGCCAAACTATGTCAAAATTCAGAGCCTAGCTGAAACTGTGCTGTTCAATCTTACTGACAAGTAACCTGTTGTTTAATAAACCATAAAATTTCTGCAGTCCAAAAACTGGTGGTTGTGATTGTTTTCTTAAAGAAGTGGTACCTATTAAATCTGAAAATAGCTCAAGTAAATCTGTGCATGGTTCACCCTTAGATTACTGGCAGTGGTTTGCCTCTGTAACTTCCCTTTCTGTAATGTATAAGAAACTCTGTAGTCCCATAAAAATCTTTGTCTGCTGGTTATTCTAACATCCCATATATCCCTTCAACTCATCTTAAAGATTCGATTTTCATTTTTCAACAGAGCTATGGCTCAGATGCCACCTAGATTTCCATGGGTGTATAGGTGGGGGTGATTTATGCTGATCCCCCACCCACCCACCCACTAGAGACCTC